TCGCGTCTGCGCGGGGCCTCCAGTGTGCGTTCCGTGCGCTCTAGCGATGATAATTTTCATCCAAGAATCAAGCTAAGAATTATTTGGTGCGCTCTAACCAATGAGATCCATTCCACTTTTTTCTTCGCCTCTTCGCATGAATAAATGATTTCGCAGAGCAGTTGTGATGTGGCGATCGAAAGCCATTGATGGCGTTCCGAGTAAGCCCATCAGCACAGAATCCATACCTAAATTGGTTTTATATGCGATACGATTCTCGCATCAGTGAACTAACCGCCTGATTCTTTGTCATAAATTGGTCCCACATGTCCGAAGTGTTGGACGAGATCAACTGGTTCGCTCATATTTCTGTAAATTGCGGACTTTAAGGTGAAAAGTTGAAAAGCCTGAGCAAAATGTGCAAACTTGTAATTGTAGTTCATCCTGGGGAACATGCGTCGTACGAGTGTGTGACCAAAACGGAATGCTGCTGTCGCAAATGGTTGCGATATGGCCGCGTCACATGTATCATCGTACCCTGTAGATGGGATTTTTTTGTTAGATTACCTACAGCCTGTCTCAATTGCAGTGTTCCTGTTGCGGCTACACATCCGCGGCGCGAGAGCTTTGCGTGCCGACATGCGTTCGCTGAGGCAGTGTGACTGCTCTGCGAGGCACTCGCGAGGCGAATATGCCAATCGGACACTGGAGGGAAAGTGTGTTTTGGAATCCTACCTGTGTAATAGCCGGTCTTCTTTGGAACCAATCCTTGCGCATTCAGTAGATCCAGTCCAATGACTTTGGGCAGAAATTCGGAGAAGGTGATGTGCTGGAGTTCTCCCACCACAATTCTACGGGCTTCCTGAAAAATTTGTTCAAATTGGCTGCTAGGATGAGCCTAGAATTGTACGTGCCAGTGCCGTGCTGGAGTACCAGCTATCGATACGGATCCGCCACGGCATCGGCATGACTTTGGACAGCGCCGGCGCGCGAGCTACTTCGAGCGCTGCCTTAGGACCAAGACAGAGTTCACGCGATTTTATCGTCGCGGTTTTATCGCCGCGATTTTATCGTCGCGATTATTCATTTTCATTTCCCATTCATCGAATTCGCTTTGGAAAAGTATCACAATTGGAATGCAAGCTGATCGGCATGCAATGAACTCGTCAAACAGTTGTCTTGTCGCGATAAAATCGCGTGAACGCTGTTTTGGGCCTTAGTGGAACCTAGCATAAACTCACTTGATACAAGATCTCATCGGTCCATTGGGGATTCAGAGTTGCTAGAGCTGTGGCTATGCGATTGTGCTCACGCATCCACATTGTGTGCATCACTGTCAAACCTGGTTGATGGGAGTTTCTGAAGAATGGAGGCGCTTTGCGCTGTGGGACCAACTCAGTTATGAGCATACCGTTCGTCTCCGGCTACGAAACATGGCATTTTTGGTGAAGAACGACAGTCTTTTTCCTGATCACCTTGTGGTAACATCATTTGACCATGACCTGAACATTGCTGAAAAGAATTCTTTACCAGAAAGAAAATGGTAACTGACCGAAGTCGGTGAAGTTCAGCAAGCCTCTAGTGCCCAGGCGAAGATGTTTTGATTCGCATTCCGTTGATCCGTAAATGACTGAGCCGTCGATGTA